CACAAGGAAATAGGTAATCTACATACTTCATGTATTTAATCCATTGTTTGTATATCTTCTTCATTATACAAAGCAGGTGGTATAATAGTAGTATACAACTGGTTGTTATCGAGTGAAGCAATCTTGAATTCTTTTTTCTGTACTGATGATATCTTAATTGACAAAAGAACAAGTTATTTTGAATTTTACCTTCATTTTAGAGATACTAGATTGGATTGTTGGATTTTTCCAATTATAAACTAAGATCAACTATAAACTAAGTGTACAGATAGTTGACCGTGATTATAATATGAGAAGGAGTTGGTCTCCTCCTTCTCATATAATGTAAGATGTATAAAAAAATGGTTTGCAACCATTGCTTGTTTTTGTTGGGATTAAGATCTAAATGTGAAAAAAAGAACCCTAAATTGTGATGATAGATTATTAAATAATCAAATAAAAATAATTGGTAATAATTTGTAGTAATAACTCACTTTTTAGAGGAAGAAGACTTTTTCCTGTATTTTTTTTATAATAAAGTTAAATAAATAAATGTTTTTATCTACATTAAACTGTTCAATCATCATCAAAAAAATAAATATATAAGCCCAATATTAATTGATGGTCTGTCTTTCAGTAGTTGGAGTCAGTAATTTGTAAGAAAGTACTGTTTCAAGCCTAATAGTTGTGCAGGGAGATCAGGCCAGTACCATGCTCTACCCTTTTTTCCTAATTAATTAATTATTTAATTAAAAGTACCCACTTCATAAAGGATGGGTGTGCCTCAGGATGGTCTTCCCACTCTAGGGTTGATCTACGGCTAATGAAACAGAATACATAATTACTTGCCAGCCATATTCAAATGCGGGATCTTGAGCTTAGAAATCAGTTCCTTACTCACTGAGTTACCCTGCTCCCAGTTGTTGAAGAATTAATTTTAAATGTATATTAATATTTTCGAAAATGAAAATAGGTATGTTTTATCTCAGGTTGAAAAAACTCAGATAAGAAGTTTAAGGGAAAACGGACATCACAAAATTCACTATTATTAAATGAATTGATGAAATAATTAAACAATATTACTTTTTAAATAAAAAAAAAGAAGGAAAAGTCTGCATTTCACAACATTTAGAACAAAATAAATAAAAGTTGGACAGTTAAGTTATAAAGATCTTGTTAGTAATTTAAGTTTTGGCTTTTCCAGAATTAAATTTCAACTATTACAGGTTCTCAATATTTAATCTTTTTTTTTTTGAAATTAAAATTTTGTAACAACATAATTAGGCAACCTAGGTGTTTCCTGATTAAATTTATGTATTAAATAGTTGTTTATTTATTAAAATGTGTTGTTTGTAACAATGATAGTTCACACATCAATCAACAAAAAATTAAATATTCATAATTTTATTTTCAGCACATTTTAAATGTTCATAACTATTAATATTTAATGCAAGTGATGCACTTTATTACTTTATTATGTTAAAAAAACGTTATTAAATTTGGACTACATATACAAAATGAAGCTTACCATTTTTCATCTTAAATGTAAAATCTTCTCTGTATCGTTCCAATTTTAGTATATGTACCACCGAAGCGAGTACTAAATTTATTTTTTATTAGAAAAACAAAGAATTATACACTGTTGACAACTACCATGAGTCCACATGATTACACTACTCATGGACTAAAAATTTCAAAATGCACCAGCATGTTTATGAAAGTGTATTTATCAGATTTATATGGCATTAATAAATTAAAATTAGCACAAAAGGCATGAACAACTTAATGTTATAATGGTCCATGTCAGAGTTGGGCAAAAACTATCTGGAACCAACAGTTAAAATAACAATAATAGTAACAATAAATAAAAATCAACTGTTGACTTTTATTTTTTTTTTTTGGTCCTTCCCTTCCTCCCTGTTAAGGCTATACGGGATTTTCCTGGGCCAGGGAGTGTGGGCGGGGATTTAAAAGACTCCCCCGGCACCGGGACACGAACTCGTGACTATTTTTATATCTTTAATTCATATGTCAGGTTGCCAGGCAACGGCGGTGCAGTGCACACGCTTTAGCCCATTCGGCTACCCTGCCCACAATCAACTGTTGACTGTTTGCCCAAAGATAATTCTTGTAGCTAAATTAGCTATTAGCGGAAACAGACAACTATTTTTTTAGTTATAAAGCATTAGTTATCCCTATAGCTAAATACTTAGTTTTAGCAATAGTTATGACTAAAAACTAGTAGATAACATTCTTATAATAGTCATAGGAGCTTATTTCTACAGTTAAAAAAAAAATCAGTTCTTTGTTTCAACTAACATATAATTTAACTGTAAAATTTGGCTACAAGCCAACAGCTAAATTAACTGTATATTTATCAAAGATAATTTTGCAAATAATAAGCTATTTAGTTGAATCTTAATTAACTAAAAATTAGTTAGCTAATGCCTAAATCTGGTCCACCTCCACTATTTTCTACAAATTACAGGTTATTTGGGATTATTAATGGTTATTAGTCATTACTGCTTTAATTATTTCATAGCTGTATGACGTTTACTAGTACCAGAGATACTAACAGGTGTTATGCAGTTGAAGTCTGGCCTTACCCAAATATCTAAAATAATCCATCATCTATTTTTTTATTCCTAGCTTTATAAATATTGTTATTTGTAGTCATATGATAATAATTAATCCAAAAAATAGTAGGGATCATCACTATTAAAAATACACACCATAAAAATTGTTTTAATTTCCAGCAAACCATTACAATATTTAGAGACGGATATAGTAAAAACATTATGTTAAGATTGGTTTAATAGGAAGGTATGGAAATCGGTTGTCATCATTCTCACATGGTCGGTTGTTTTCTCCAAGAACCCAAAAATCATAATTTTTTTAGCATCTTAAAATATATTTCAAGGAGACATTTAAAATGTTGAATTTTATACATTTCCAATAGTAAGTGAGAGTGGGTATTTCTGTGCCAAAAACAAGACAAAAATAACATTTAAAAAAAATTTATTTCACCAATTTATTCATTTTTCAGCAGTCATTACATTCTTTTATTTTTCTATCACAATAAAGACATTTAATTTATAGGTAATTGGTTCAATTTATTTTCCATAATCATCATCATTATATGAAGAAATAATTTTATGATGATCATAAACAATCCTGAAAGATAATTCTGAAAGTTCTTGGCAATGTATCAACATTAATAACACAACTACCTCTAGAAATTTGAAACATTTTTTTAATAATAAATTTAGCAATAAAAAATAATTAAAATTTGATAATCAATCTTAACACATCTGCTTGGAAACAAGGAAGCAGTTTCAACTTTTATATTTTGATACAAATTAATGATTACATGCTGATGATGTCTTGCATAATAATACCATATTATGATCCTTTTTAACCGGATAACTAAATGGAAACTCCTAAATCAATTAATTTGGAACAACTAAAAAAATAGAAACAAAGACATCAAAGGATACTAAACATCACATCATTGTAACTAAGCAGTTGAATTAAAATGAGAAATCAAATTAATCATTATATGATTTTAATACATTAACGATATAACCATCTCTTCAGTCTTATAAAATTTGCAAATACTAAAAAAATGACAAAATCATAGTTTTTTTTGTTTCAGAAGATTAAACTTTAATTCAAAACAATACATTAGTGAAATTAAAATGGTAGTTTATTTATTAAATCACTTCAATAAGCCTAAAGTATTTACAACGTATGTTTTAACATATTTATAATTATTTACATAACTTAAAAATGTACTTGTTTTTATGTACAATAATATGAGACTATTCATAATATAAGTTCATTTCTAACATTAATATAAATTACTATTTTTTTTTTTTTTAACAAAATAAACAAGAATTTTCAACAAAATATAACTGTAATAAATATAAACTTTGGTACAAAAAAAGTTAAATATATTGTGGACTTCCGATGTTTTATGATCCTAGCAATATTTCCTTTAAACTTACATCATATTAAATGCTAATACTTATCATGGCATTAACAACATTACATACTTAATCTAATACTTAGCTATACAATATTGTGAGATACTGCAAAAGCACCATTTACATAATGATTAACATATAAAATTCAATTTTTATATAACATTATATCACATGTTGAGAATCATAACAGCAAGACTAAAAAAAAAAATTTTTTACATCTGTTTTGCCTTCTCAAGAAGTAAAAGCTAACTTCGACTCCTTTCCTGTAGATTGTGACATATGCCAAAAATAAAGAGAACAAATTTAATATGCATTTATCTATGTTTAAGAGTATTAGTGACAAAAGTCAGCATTGTTTGAACATAGATCAATTATCAATAAAGATGTACATTTTATTATGTCTTTTTTATACATTTGCCGATAGTGAAGTTCCTATCTAGCGCTTAGGTTAACTATGAAATACTACCACTCTGGCTCTCAACACGGGATATAATGAAATAAATAAAATAATACAGTTGAAGCTCTATAAAATGTACTTTTATAAATTAAAAATCTTTATATATTGTATTTTTTTAAAGAGAAAAAATGCTTCCTTTCAATGCTTCACTTATCTAAAAAAGATATCAAAGAAAAGTAAATTTGGTCATTCTAGATACAAACTTTTCTCATAGGCAAAACTAAAATTTGAACCTGAAGATGTCAATATGGATCAAGAGGGATTTATTTTTTTTTTTAGTAAAATTTCATACATTAATTTTTTTCAATGATCTTTCTATAGAGGTTCAACTGTATTTAAATTAGAACACATAATACATTAAAAATCGAAATTTACTGATGAATTGATGATAATTGAAAAAATTATTAACTTAAAAAACAGAATGAGAAATTTAACCCCTTCAGTGGCATAGTAATGTTAGTGATTAATAGTGATCAGATACCCTAGGGATCAGTGAACTTATGATCGATTGCCTGCTACATCCGATATAATTTAAAAACCACTAAAATCCATTATTTATATGAAACAATTTTAAAATGAGAATGTAATCGGATTAAAGCAAATTACAAGCATAAATATGATTAATTACACAAGCACTGAATGAGTTAAATAATAGAGTAAAATGAATGAAGCCATTTTGACAATGAATACCGCTGTTTAACAAAAATTCAGCTAAATTCTACATATCACATTTATGTCAAGCAACTTTATAAAGAAACACAATTAGAAGAGATTCAAATTGCATAGGAAAGGAAGATCATCAATTTTACTTTTACTACGGACTCTGGAAGTTTTAATGCATATCATTTAAATTTTGAACATCTTAATGAGAACATCAAGTAAGTCTACAGAATTTACTGCTATTACATGTTTAATAATTTAATGCATTTTATGGTATTTGGAGTAGGTCACTTGATGGGCCTTGGTGGAGGAGCTGGGCAGCTACCTTTCTTTTCTTTCACTGGAATGTTTTCATAAATTTGTTTTGGAATTTCTTCGGGTGGCCTGAAAGCAAAATTCTTCGATAATTACTTAAAATTACCAACTAAAAAAACTTGATCATTCAAAATAAAATTAAAGTAAAGACCCCTGCTTCAATAAAATACATATTTTACCAACCAATAGTGAACTCCATGATGATTTTATTTAATTTAAAACACTATAGAAATGGATTTCTCAAACTCTCATGTTACAAGAAAAATAAACAAAAATATTGGCTTTGCATCAGTCTATTTTAAGATGAAATCAAAGATTTAGAGCACTAAACGCCTACCCTTCTATTACCTACTTGCAACTTACACTTATTTTTTTGTAACTTTCTACTATAATTTAAAACAGCAATTCAAAACCTAGTGAAAAAACATTTGCATCCAAATAATTTAAGAACAAAACAGAAAGAAGAATTAACTATATTTGATTTCCATTAATGAATCACAATCACTATTTCATTGATATGTATTATAAAGATTTATAAAACATATATTGAATGTAAAGCAACATAAAAGTAATAATGCTGACATGTATTTTACCTTGGTAAATGTGTTTCAGTTGATGACCATTTACTAAGTGTTCCTTGTGGTGTTGATGGAGAATCATTACAATATCGTATGTTACTGTATTCTCTCCCAGCTTGTAGAGATTTCTATAATAAAGAATCGGTTAGTTATCATTTTCCAGTAGGGTTTCACATTCATTCACATAACACATTTACTTATTTACACATTCATCTTAATATTAATAAATAAATAAAAACTATATCCAGAAATGCTGAAAAATAAAACATTGTATTTACCTGTTCAGCTTGTATTCTTTGGGAGAGTGTTTGCATGTAATGCTGCACAGCCAAATAAACAAATTTATATTGTGCTTCAGTTTGAACCATTCCGGATCTTTGTGCTCTGACCATTTGAATAGTTCTTTGAATATCTATTTCACAATCCAAACCTGCAAACAAAGTAATTTAAAATAAAAATGAAATCATGTTAGTACTTTGATCAAAATAAGTAAACATCTCAATAAAAACTGTCCAATAAATAAATTCATAACATTTAAAGAAACAGGAAAGAAAACTATTCCGACCTCCTGCCGAGAGAAGACTGCTCACAAGATTAGAAGAGAATGCTCAGCGGCTCTACCAGAGTACCTGCGAGTGAGAATAGAAGATGAGCCCAGAAACTGGAAGAGGAACCTCCAAAAGAATATAACAGAAGAGAGGAATATGTGGTTGACGACTCCGAAAGGTGTTACCCTAAGAAATTACTTTCCCAACAGTGGTTCATGGCTAGAAGCAACTTGGGTCCTCCCGAACTACTGGATCTCAGAGATTTTCGTGGGATATGGGAGTTTCTGAGCGAAACTCGTTGAGTATGGTGTAACTATTGATCACCTATGCCTAAGCTGTGAGGAACCAGAGACCACTGAGCATGTTGTACTAATCTGTACCACATATGAGTCACCGAGGGCGAAGCTGTTGAGGGAGACAGGTCTCTTTGTCCTAACAAAGAGAGATCTTCAACTACTGACCACAGATAACTATGGGTTCTTCAAGAATTTTATCTATGGATGGAAAGAAGTTGAAGTTCCATCTATGGATAGAAAGAAGTTTACTAACAACCCACTTCTCTCTGGAAAGAAGAAGAGAAGCTGCACCGGAGAGGCCACCAGAATGAATAGAAAAGATGGAGACAAGACAGAAGTAAAGAAAAGAGCAAGCTGTGGAATATAATATTTAAAAATTCAGCAGTGGGTTGCTATGGTAATAGTAACATCCTACTGCTGGCAAATACTTGTATGGCCAAGAGGCAGGGGGTGGTTGAAAATAAATAAATAAATAAAGGTTTTTTTTTGTAGGCATCTTGCACAAGATAGATCCACATACTTTATGAATCATTGTTATCAATATACAATATTTTTTTAATGGAGCATCTTTTAACAAAGAAATTTTTGTATTGTTCTTTCAAAAATTTCGATTGGTCTGCCCTTGCTATAATGCATCCCAATAACACTGGTGGTTTCATATGCCCTTGCCTCGCGTTATAACAATGAACTACTTGCTGAGTTTTAAACAGACCTTCGTTTTAATTTAATGTTTTACACCTATCCTTAAAACTAAATTTTATATGTACTCACCTCGAACACTGATATAATTGAGTAAAATGTGAATCACAATAAAAGTTCCAGTTCTTCCAATACCAGCACTACAATGGACAACCACTGGGCCAGTGAAACCAGTACTTTCATTGCACTGATTTACATCATGAACGAAATTTAAGACTGAACCTGGATCATTAGGTACTCCATGATCAGGCCATCCCTGCAAGCACAAAAATAAAATAAAAATATTAATTAATGAACTGATGACGGATGAACTGCCCAAAATTTAAAAACTGAAATTTATTAGCATAAAAACAGTTCCTGAAATTAGAAAAAGGAAAACAAAGACGAAATTTTAAACTGGTAACAAATCATAAAAAGTAAATCCAATGTTTTATTATTTATCTTACATGTTTAAGTTAATATTGTTTAACATAAAATTCTTTAGTCTTTAAGCATATTTAGGACTTTATCAACTTTTATATTCATGGTTTGTGATGTTTCATTGAAAATTTTACAATGTGAGAAATAAACTTATATCAATATATTATTAGACAATGGTTATTCAAAGAAAAGTCTGTTTAAAAAATACACACAGAAATGGACATACCTGATAATGATAATGGTAAATTGTTCTCTCCTCATCGCCATCGGTTGCTGATAATTCTCTAAGAGTATAATCAGTCCTGGAAGTCTGTGAAATATTGGTCACTTTGATGTTTCCATATTCAGTACTTTCTCCTTCTTCGGGCCAGTATCGAGCACATTTATTCTGAAATAAACAAAAGGATTATATTAATATAAAAGAACAAAATGCTCAAAAAGAGAATGCAGTAATTAGGATATAAATGGAAGATTCTAACTACAAAACCTCCAACAAATTTTTCAACATTCTTTCCTGATGATGCGAAACATCGACAATAGGTTAACTGTTCACCTGTATGTTGCAGACTCAATAGTTAGAATTTTCAACTTAAAAATGAGATGGATTTTGAATTAGTTTATAAATTGGAGTATTGCATATCAATTTAATAGAGAATCATATAACATAATAAACAAAAGTTCCGACATCATGTTTTAAATTTATGATGACTTTTTTTGATTCATTTAATTCTTTTGGTATTAAAAAAAAAAGGGAAATATTAAACATATTTTTTAGTGGGTGTTATTAAAGTTCCTCCAATATAACATACATAAAGATTTATGTTATTTTAGACTGTCTCACATTCATTGATGATCAGGTTCATTACCAATGACAGTCTTATGCTAAAATCAATTTTAGATATACTAATATAAGACAAAAAACACTGTTTCGATAATACATTTTCAAATAGAAAAAGTTAAGATGAAAGATTCGGCATGAAAATAGTTTGCATAACAATCAGAAAATTAAGCAATACAAAGAAATTGTTAATGTTTGGGATTACAGAAATGAATATGGTGCAGGTACATAAAAAATTTCTCTAAATTTAAGATGTAAAATAAAATAGTTAATACTGAGACTGATGTTGGTAATGAACCTCATTATCATACATAAACATTAAAATAAAGTAATTACTTTTCCTCTTTCAGTTTCTTTTGTTGTCATCACTATAACTCTAGTATTGTGCTGCCAAACCATTTTCCAAAAATCATTAACTGTATTTGGCAAACAGCCTTGAGTGGCAATGTAAACTCGGCCGTTGGGATCATCATCACACTACAAAATAACAATTTATTAATAAATATATTAACAAAATTTAAAACAAACAATAAAGAATTAATATAGAATCCGAATCCGACAGTATTTTCGTAATAAGCGTCCCCCCAAAACATAATAGTTGAACCTGATATCGATTAAATCCAAAAAGTTACAAAAAGTCGATGCAGGGGGTGCAATCTCAAATCCAATAGTATTTAAAAAAAAAAAAACACCCCCCAAAATACAATAATGGAAGTCTAAGTCAAGTGGTGTAGAAAAAAAAAAATTAACTGAAATAATAATGGGCCCCAATATGGATTAAATCCAAAATATTTTAATAATTCTACATTTTATTGATTTATATTAATATCGATACTATTTAGAAAAACTATATCCTCCATAAGATAACAATAGACTTAAATATTGAAGAAATATTATATATTCTACTCCTGTAATTTTTATAATGAAGTACTTCATTACTTTGAAAAATACTCAGGGAAAGATATTTCTGAGTAGATTTGAAAATGGAAAGTACTCACGAGGACAACTGAGTACTTCTTCCACTTGTCAATCATCGGGTCGAGTAGTGATTTAAGCACTCAGTACTCGAACTGCGCGAGCATTTGATTAAAATACTTGGTAATTTGTACTTCTTACTTAGAGTACTTCTGGTCCATCTCTACTTTAGAGGAAGTCAATATTGAAACTTAGCCATTTAAGCCCTGATAGAGAACATCAATGAGAATAAAACCTATATTATATTAAAAACTGCTTAACAATACACTGATGTACTGAATTTAATCAAAATCATAGGAGCTGTATTTGAGAAAATAGTAAAAATGTGTTAAATAAATTATATAAAGTACCACTTCCGGATTGCCAATTTTGACGAAAATGTTGCTGTAACATTGAAAGCTTATAGAAACCTTAAATATGCAATTTAACTTTCATATGACTTTTCGTTTTTGAGCTAGACTGATAAAATACAAACACACGCACAGACCATTTTTTGTGACTTGGTTATTTGGACTCAGGAGACCTCAAAACATGTATTTCTGTTGAAAACTCAGACTCAAAAATTTTCACGATCGCAATACTTATCCTTACTATATATTGCATATATAGGTAAGTGAAAATAAAAATTATAGTGGTATAATTTTTTTAAGTTTTTATTATTATTTATGACATTTACAGCTGTACAAATTAATATACATTCATTAAATGTGATACAGAGTAATACATGACATGACAAGGCTTGTAGAGAATCTTCCCATTGGTTGCACTCTAATAAAGTATCTAAATTGGAAGATCAGGAGGCCAACTTCTTTTCAGAAGCCTAGGGGAGGGGGAGTTATCAGGGATTGAGGGATTGAGGAGGAAGCAAGGTTAGAAACGAGAGGATTAGGATGGTTCTGAAGTTTATTGTGGAAGGATAGGTATCTGGATTGAGCCAAATCGGAAATATATGGAACATTCAGGTTGTTTTATTTGATACAAAGTAAGGAGCATTAAGGATTTTACAAAGGATTGTGGATTGTAAAGATTGGATATGAGAGGAATTCGATGGTTTAATGGAGCACCAAAGCTCAACTCCGTAAGACCAAACAGGTCTTATTATTGTCATGTATATGAGTCTTTAGTAATTAATTGAAAGCTTAGAGCGTTTGTCTAGTAAGTGGATTCCAAGTTAGACGTTTGTCCAGGTGGAGTCCTAGGTAGATATAAAATATTAATAGGTGATACAAATTTCTGATTTTGTCACCCTGTCTGAGAACCAAAACGACATCTTTCTAGAGAACCTATCATTAAAGATACCATCTCTAACAATGATTATGTTAATGATCATTATTTTAATGGCAATTTCTAAACAAATATTGTAAAGACACTAAGTTCAATGCAGTATGCTAATCTTTAGCACTTTAAGCCGCACAATTATTTATAATAAAAACATATCTAATCATAATTTACCTTAATATAATTAGCATTAATGTAATCTGAGCCTGGTTCATCTGGATCAGCATTTTCCAGTTTAACCCTTGTGTGGTCAACTGTAACAGGATATTTTAATTAAAAATATGAAATTCTAATACCATACATGAATCAGATGTAAAAATGTAATGACTCAAACACTTCAAAAAGCATTTAACATAATCCAGAGAGTAAAATATAATTGTCTTACAACACCTACATGGCAAAATATTTTTGTATCTGTTTTTATTTCTATTTTCTGGACGCTGCCCTTCTTTTCGAGAAAACAAATATTTACATTCTTGCTGTTGTAATGACTCAAATTCTTCCCAAAAGCCTGCTTTCCCAGACCATTGGCTGTTTTCTTTCTGTTAAAAAAATAAAATAAATGATATAAATGTAAAAAATTATGGATCATGATGGGATAAAAGAAAATAAAACTGAAATATAACAATAAAAGATTTAATTATTTGAGCAGAGTTAAAACAACTACTTAGCAATATAATTCTCAAAAAATGTAAATTTGATGATGTGTAACTGCAAATTTAAATCAATTAATAAGTAACGAATTTTTTATTTTTTCAAGGAAGAAAAGTAATAATCAAGGCTAGCATAATACTCACTTGTAATTCTTTAACCCTTGAATCAATGCCACTTGCATTAATTCTAGTGGCATTGAAAGGCTGACGAAGATGTACAACAGTACCACTAGTTTCAACCATTGGATTCTTTTTGTAATGTTCAATTAATTCGCTTAGGCTACTGAATTTTTCACCTCCTCCAACATCATATTTATTATCCTTAAAAAAAAGTAATACCATTATAGATATTTTTAATTATTATAAAATGACTAATAGATACATGATCATTCAAATATGAGTCATCCAATGATTTAAAATGAAGTTTATCCTAAAAATATGATTCAGGTCTTAAAAAAATTGAAGCCTAAAAGAAAAATAATTAGGAAAAAACCATCAGGAATACTTAGGCTGATTTATTTATATTTATTACTATTATCATTATTTTATTTTGTTATTATTTACATGCTTCGCTTTCTCAGATTTCTGAAATAGCATCTCCACTCCAGAAAACACTTAAGAGAACATGAATGATGAAGGATTTTACTTATTTAAAAATTGCCTCATAATCCTACATGTTGCGAGCAGGACTGCTTTCCGTGCTGATTTTAAATATACTAAGTGAAGTTCAAGAACTTGTGTACCCTCTACTGTGCCTTTGAATATAAGACCAATTGAAGATATGAATAATCATATCTAAAATAACAATAACTCCAATAATGGAGTTAATTTCTACTTTTTTCCAAATGCTATAGCGTTTTCAACTCCAAGGCAAGTTCTTAAAATTTTCGAATTTTTTCAGCCCTGGTGGGTACTATATTGAAATCACACGGTACTGTTATATCTATGATTTTTTTTTTTTTTTTTTTTTATAAAGATATCCAGGCGGTTATTGCAATGCCCTAATGGTCCATTATTATTTCTTCATCCCAAAAAATTTTTATAATTCTATTTTTTTAAAGTTTTTCTTGGGTATAACGGTGGTAGGGTACCTCATCATTGCTCAGTAGTGCCGAATGTTCTTCATATATTTTGGTGGTATGTTTTTGCAACATTATTATGCCTCATCAGATATTCCATCCCAGTCAAAGTATCCTAGCCATTGGTTACATACTAGATAGATTCATGCGTCTGAGAGCAAAGGTGATATCTATACCAAGGTTTCTTTTAGTATATGTTTTCTGTAAGCGCTCGTAGTTATAACTTGAATTGAATAGTTTCCATAAACCATTCAAACCTTATTAACCATTCAAGTGAAAAGTCAATCTGAGGTTTATTTTATTATTATTTCTTTTGTTTATACTGATTTTGAGTCATTTGAATATACAGTGTTAATATTAAAATTAAAAAAATTCAGATCACCCTCATCTAAAGCAGGTTAAAGGGGTTGTTTGAGGTTGATGAATTTAAAAAAATTCTCAATAGTGAATTGAATATGATAATAGACACTTTTTTAATAAATACAACTTTCAAGAAAATCCTTTCTAAGATGTCTCAGGAAATTCTGAGATTTCTAAATAATAATAAAAAAAAGAAAACTGTAACTATAATTACCTAATCAACCTTCCTACTTAGGCTACTGTATGTTATTAACCAAGGAGTTAAACCGATTCTCATTTTTTTAATCATGGAATTTAAAACAATATAATGCAATAAAATAATCAAAATATCAGCTAAATAAAAAATTATTTATATATTTTTTCAAATAAATAATTAAATTTTAAATTTAACAAATCATACCTGGCATCGAATCATTACATGAGTGACTTTGTCATCTGTTCTAACTGATAATACGTAATCTCCTGGCTTACTCTGCGATTCACGAACTAAAAAACTACCATTTTTTCCTTTGTCTAAAATAAGCTTTTCCGCTTCTTTTCCAGATAAATGACCATGAAACCACCTGAAATAATACATAAAATTAAAATAATAGTCAAATACAAAAAGGTTATTGATAGAAACTCTAATTGAATCAAACAAATGAAAATTTCAGATTAAAAAATGTTATTTATAGAAAGATAATAATTTTTCAGGCAAGATAAACTTATTTAACAAGATTTTGAATTATTAAGACAGTTTGACGATACATTATACTTAATTTAGATCCAGTATAATTCGATTATAATTTTCCACAAATTTACATTTTACCACTAGTGGTCATTTTCTTAGTAGCGGGGTAAGATAATTAATGTGTTATGGTAAAATAAAGAAAACCAGTGACTGACCTCTTTGGGCATATGATGCACAAACTTTGAAATCCAGACTGAAATGAGTATGTACACATAGACTTATATATTCAGAATATTTTAGTTAAAGTTTGTAAACTTATCTTGGACTGCCGATTCCTTGTGTTTTGAGACTCAAGAATTACTTCAAAGTGTTCTGTATCGGAATTTTTAGTCACAACTTAACTGAACATAGACAAACACTTGTTTATAGTAGTGTGTTACATTTTCTACCACTACAAAACCTAATACTAGCTAAGACATGCCGCCATATTTGATTGATAGTAAGAAATACTGAATTTGTCGTCTTTATCCATTCGCCATCTTACCCCACCCCTTCCCTATTTCATTAGTATATAAAAATTATAGTATATTATATATAAAAAATCTATTTAATAAATCTTAATCGTTAATAGAGTGTACAGATGATAAAATATTATTTATACGTAACAAGAGGTAAAGAAACTGGTTAAAACTTTGATAAGCCATACTGCGGATTCAGTTTACAACTTTGAAAGATGTCATAAAAAACAGGACAAATCTATAATCTATATAAAAGCCATAACCTATACGATACAATTGGGGCTTGAATTTATAGAGTAGATGATCAAATAACGGTTACTTAAGGAAAGTAGTTATGCAAATAAATCATGATAAAAAGTCAAAGATGTTAAGATGAATGGGACAAATAGCTATAAATAAACAATTAGAGACTCACTATACAATCATTTACATCCAGTTGATGATAAGGAACCTAAGATCGAATGAATAACCCAATATATAATTAAAATATGAATTGGAAAACAATGAAAGTAAATATCTATATGCTTGGATAGCCAATCAAGAGAAAGGAGGAAATTTTGTCTTACAATAAAACATATAATGTTTTATTTATAACAAAAATTAACTTTTTGTCAATGGATCATCACAAACTGCACAATATTACCATGTTGTATAATTCACAAAATGAAGTAGCTATTTAGATAAAAAAATTTAAAAGAAATAAGCTTGATTTTTCAGATCATTTGCATTAAGTGAATATTTAGTTCAACATTTTTAATTTTTAATATCTTATTAAATTCTAATACTAAACATTACTTTAAAATGATTAAATGCTAATAAACACCTTTTGTAGAGATATAGACTGTGAATAATGCACAAAGTAAAATATTCATTTGATAAAGAATAAATATAAGAAATTTGTCGGGAGATGGTGGCAACTATAATGCACATAATATATTGGAGTGCTGATATAATATGAAATTGGAGTGTTGATTAATATGAGTCATACATAAAATATGTGAATGACTTTTGACCGCACAAACCCCTTCCCTCTCTTCTGTGAGAATTCTGCAATTATTTAAATTAAATATAAATATAATGAACTTGATGAAGTTTTTAATATATTTAAGGTATTAGTTGGCTTGAAATTCATGTAAATAAATAATTTAAATATATACAGTCTATATTTATTAAATAAATAACATATGGATGATAAGGGGTGCAGAAAAAAAAAACACTTCATTAATTAATAAATAATAAAATAAAAACAAAAGTTAAATAGAGATATTTTAAATTTTAAGTAGCACGCAAAACTTGAATAATATTTCAATACAATGAATGGAATAAATATATATATTTTTAAGGAATAATCAAATAAATAAAAACGATACTTTTAAATTAGTTTCACAAATATTCATTCAACTTATAGATTAAAAATACAGCATGACACAAAATATAACATGCAATATTACATGATTTTTCAGCTAATCACAATAGTTTTTTTTTTATAACATAACACATGAGTTCATCAATGTTTAGAAACCAGCACCCAATATTAAAACAGTTTATAGTAAATCTGGTAGGGTAAAATACAATTAAAATTTTAATTAAGAACAAGATCTATCTAAGACATAAACCACATACTTTGGGAACTCATAACCTAGGTAGAATAAAGATACTTAAAACAAAATTATTTTAATGATTTTAGGTACTAATTAAAGCAAGTTTATTTATCTGAAATCATACACTAAACAAATGGGGAAATAGATGTTGAATACAGAGGGGTCCAAATAGTGATTATGAGAGACTAAATGAAATAGAACTACTGTAATCAAATAAATTAGTTGAACTATTTTACAATATTTTCTGAAGATGTCATTACATACCTGCACGTTTAAAACAATTTCTTATCTTCAAAATTGTGGAATAATTCATTTATTTGAATAGTTTATAATGATTTTAAAATAAGATTTAAGAAACTAATAGACCTAGCTACAAAAGATTTCATAACATCTAAGGAAGTATTTTTGTTATAGCTCATCTTTAGATTGACTTGTGATTTTCTGATGAACATATATTATTTTATTTTCATATTATTTGTATAATATCTTATTTATATTTTATTCTTTTATTACTTATCTTTTAGTTGAGATAGAGTTAATTTTACTACACTGCTGTTAAATTTAATAGGAATTTTTTTTTTTAAATGATAGGTGCCTCAAAATTATAATAGAAGGCAGAGCCCTGTCAGAAAATAAGAATCGAAGGAACTCAAGCTTCCCCTTAACGTTTTAAATAGTGTTACGGAAAAGATATTCAATAAGGGAGAGGAAGAAATTATTCTCAAAGTCACCCACTTCTTATTCTGACTTCTACTATAGTAAATAATTATTTTTATATATTTATAGATATGTACATGTTTAGTAATGAATAATCATAATCAAAAGTTTAATAAGGCAAATTCACATTTATTACTCTTTAACATAATATGTTATAATATGACAATATCTACATATCTTATTTTATTATTTTAATTTATCATACTATAATCATATTATTTAAATTATGAAGCAATAATCAATGAAAAGTAGAACAAATAACACTTTACCATTTACGTTTCTTATAAAATATTATTTAATAATTATTTATTTTATTTAAGAATGTAAGCCATACTTTTTTATTAATACTTAAAATTACTTATTATTATTTACCAACATTATTTTTTTATGCTTAGATTTTTTTTGTGTGTGTGTGTTTAGCTCTGAAGTAGGAAAAGATAGGAGATTCCTGCTTCATATTTATTTTAAGCTTTTCATGAAATAAAGTATTTCTCATTAATTTTTATTATTATTCATAAAAATGTTAATTGTTTTTATGTAATTAAAAATTATAGATTCACAAGTTTCATAATTGAGCATAAAATATTTTTTTTTTCTTCATTTTTTGATTCTTTACAAAACTATTTATATTGCTCAAATTACGGAGAATTAATTTGGTGAATGTTGGTACCACAGTTTAGTCTCATTAAAAAAAAGTTTTATATTTGTGACATTTCAAGGCATATTTTTAAGATTTTCAACAGCATATTTTAGGAATATTTACTGCATAATAATCTAGTCTGACTCAAACTAATTACCAATTGAAATTCAAGCTAACATAATATACTAGAGTAGAAAAAACTCAACCTACAAATATAATAATGTACAATATGCACTACAAAGAACAATGTGTCATTGAGGAAGAACAAGAGAGAGATAAATGATTGAATTATCTAATATTACCTTCAAAGTAAGTCAGAGTACTTCCCCTTCCTCGTCTAAATCATTATTATTCAACAAAAGGATGCATTCTTTGGCTTAACATAATTTCAATGCATACGATTCTATCTTGCTTTAGATTAACATATACATCTGAACACAAGATGTTTCTATGTTATTAATTAAAACCACATATTTAGTTTTATAGTTCATGCATCTAGTTTTATCATATAATCTTTGAGGACTAATATTAATAAAACCCCATATCAATTAATCAATTTTGCAAATCTACAATCTCTTTTATATGAAATAACATTTCAAAATATTTTACTAAACAAGGTTCAAATTAAAAAATATATATAAATTAGAGATGTGAAAATAGAGTATTGATTTGGAGGTAAATATTAAGAAGGAATCATAGAAAAAAAAATCAAAGCTTCAATGATAGAAATTAATAAATTCAATCTTAAAACATTTTTAGATATAATAGAAAATGCATCTTTTCCTTAACTCTGAAGTTTTTTTTTTGTTTTTGTTTTTTGAAAAAGGAATATGGTAGAATTTGGAAAAAAATTGTGTTTAGAAGCTAACATAACTAAATCTATTTATTTATTAATTAATCCATAAGTTGTCATATAGCTTACATTCATAATTTAACACAATTTCTCGTGTATAGCTTAATTACAATTAGTTGGCAGCCGAATAATGAACTCATGCAGCACAAAACTGTAAATAACATCTACATATTTCCCTATACCCTCTGGGAAAGGGAAAAAAACGAATGTTAGTTATAACTCAGTGCGGCATCAGTTCACCTTAGATCTGCCAATTAACTGTGGCTAAGTTAAAGTAATCATTTATATTATCCTGTTTTTAAGTTAAATTGCTAAAAGTATACTTAAGAAGTGCAAGTTTCTTATTAATCAGATCCACTTATTATCAAAGTGCTCTGTGATAATGACAGTGAACCACTTATTATTAGATTGTAATAAATATAAAACCAAATGAACCTCTATGGAGCTATCATAAAACCTCAACCTCACGTAAGGCAATCAAAACAACGTCGAATAAATCATGATTTTTGTTTTTTTAAATTACAGACCTAGATAAAAAATTATGAGGAAAAAAACACTGCTTCG